GCCCGGCTTCCTTCCCTGATGGTCATCTTGTTTCTCTGCTGGGAAAACTGGTGGTCGGGAGGGGCAGCTGGGTTTGGACGACTGACTATCGGCCTGACTTAAAGGGTCTCTTCTCTATCTCTCCGTGGTGGCATTGACCTCTCACCAAAGCTGGGCAGGACAAAGGCCTTCTGACCACAAATGCTGACCACCAAGTCCAGGTGCCAGGAGCCCCAACCTCAGAAGCAGAAGAGGCCAGGGGTGCCAGCAGCAAGTGGAGTCAACGCAGACAGCAGGGCCCCACAGGGGACGCCCTCGAGGGGGCCAGGCCGGCTTCTGGGCTCCAGCTCACAGCCAGCCCAGACAGAGGTGGCCTTGGTGGGCATGGCTACTCCCTGACGGGGCACGAGGGGGCCACTGATGCAGCCTGGGGCCCTGGGCAGGCAAGAAAGGGCTTGCTGGAAGCAGACGGAGACACAGCCACTCTGCCTGAGGACAACCAGCTCCACAGAGAGGGGGACTGGGACACGAGCCTTCCGGGGAGGCCTCATGCACAGGGAGAGGGTGCAGGATCAGGGCTGGGCCTCACAGAAAGTCACCAGCCCGATGGCGGCAGGGATAGTGATGGGGACAGACGTGGCAGGCCAGCAGGGGCCTGGGAGGCTGGGTCCCAGCACCCCGTGGTTGGAGGATTGGTGGGCAGTGGGGAAGGACAGGAGCACAGAGGGGACAATGGGAGTCAGCTGGACAGGTACAGCCAGGATCAACTCTGGGGGGCTCAGCTGGGAGATGGGACAGGAATGAGGGCCCTGCAGGGGTTGCAAGCTGGTCCTGCAGGGTTTGGGTCAGAAGGGGAATCGCTGGAGAAGTCACTTCAGGGGAGCCTGGGTCAAGTGGGGCGAGGGGATGGTCTGAGCCAGGACAGGGGGAGCGGAGCAGCATGGGGCGCCTGGGGCAGTGGGGCTGGCCTGGGGGAGTCTGGGGACAGCAGTGTGGCAGGGGTTTCTGGTGCCCTGGAGTCTCCTGAAGGAAGGGGATCCAGCTCCGAGGCAGGCAGGAGTCCTGAGATCTGGGGCTCTCAGGGACGAGGCGATGATGACCATGGGGACACAAGGGGCTTCAGGGGGCCAGGGCAGTCTCCAGGACAGACACCTGCAGGCAAGTCCTTCGGGGACCCTTCGATATCTGGTGGCCGAGAACTCCTGCTGGGGCACGGAGGTCCTGAGGGTTCAAGGCAGGAGGCAGGTGATCGGGGCCCAGGGGAGTCTGGAGGTAAGGGAGGGAGCTACAAAACTAGCCCTGGGGGCCCAGGAGGTCCTGGGGGTTGGGGAAGAGAGGGCCAGGGGACAGTGAGGGCCTTGGGTGAGGCAGGGGATGGCAGAAGCCTCCAGTATTCCCAAGGGGGGACAGCAGGTCAGAGGGGAGCAGGGGAGGCTGGCAGAATGGAGGCTGGAAGCACAGGGCCTTGGGATGACGCAGGGTCCAGCCTCAGGCCAGCCGGGGCCCACCCTGGGCCTGGAGAGCTGGGGTTTGGAGGAGGGAGAGGGGGTGCGGGTGGTACCCAGGTGCCTGGACTGATAGGGTCTGGTCAAGGAGGGGATGCCAGCAGCCACAGGCTAATTGGGGCTCCAGGCCAGGGTGCTCAGGGGCCCTGGGGGACACAGGGAGGTGTGGATGGAGCAGGAGGCCCAGGGGCCACGGGGTCTGGGTCAGATTTCTGGAATGGGACAGTGAACTCCAGAGAAGGACAACCTGGAGGCGAAACAGGCCGTGAGGCTGGCTTAGTGGGATCCAGGTACGGCGAAGGCTCAGGGTATTTAAGGGGAATAGGTCCTGAAAGTGGGGTTGGTTATGGTGATGGCTCAGGGGCGCCGGGAGACAAGGGCTCTGCTCGTAGCACTGGGGCACCTGGGGGAGCAGGGTCTGAGGAGGGGGCTGCTTACAGGGACAGCTCACGGGTGCCTGGGGCATTATGGTCTGAAAACCAAGATGGTCATGGTCCTGGAAGGAGGGGAACTGAGACACCTGCAGGTCTCAAGAGTGGCACAGGTGGCCCTGAGGGAGGGCTCGTGAATGAGGCCGGGATGGGCCCGGAAACCTGGGACACATCCAGAGGCCGGGGAAATGCCGGCCCTGGGGGAGGGCATCTTTCCAACAGTGGCCTGGGGAGTCCAGGGACAGTGGGGTCTGGGGGTAAAGGTGGCCTTGGGCCCTCTGCAACAGTGGGGGCTGTAGGGGAGGGACATGTGGGAGCAGAGCCAGGGGGCTCTGGGAGAATCCAGCCTTGGGGTTCAACTGGAGATGGTGGGGGCTTTGGAGCCCCGGGGGCAAAGGGGGCCTTTGGGGAAGGAGGCTGTGAAGATGGCTCTGGGGGTCTGGGAGCCGCGAAGCCAGACTCTCTGAGGGCAGGGGGCAAAGCGAGTGATCAGGATGGGACCAGGGGCCCTGGTGCTGGGGCCCCCAGAGCTGGGTGGGAGGAGTCGAGGAGCCCCAAGGCACAGGCTCCTGATGCTGGGGCCGGTTCCAATAGCCAGCGGTCTTGTGGGTCTGGCAGTGAGCTGGGTTTGGGGGATGGAGCTGGAATCCCAGGGTCTCAGCTAATTGGAGGTAAAACAGCTTCTGGAGGAGTGTCAAGGGGTCTCGGGCCTGGGGGGATGGGGCCCGAGGGTGAGGCGGGCCTTAGGGATGGTTTGGGGGGCCTGGGAGGGATGGGGTCAGGGAGTGAGGCAGGTCATAGGAAAGATTTGGGGGCTCCTGAGGGAATAGGGTCAGGGGCTCAGACAGGTCACAGGGATGCTTTGGGAGGTTCTGGGGGAATGGGTTCAGGTCGCAGGGGAGGGTCTGGGGACATCGGACCAGAGGGTGAGAAGGGCTATGGAGATGGTTCCGGGAGCTGTGGGGTAGCAGGCTCTCTGGCCTCAGTGGGACAAGAGGGTGGACCCCGAGGCCGAGAAGCCGAGGGACACGGCTCAGGGTACGGGGCAGCGTCAGAGGGGTCTTATGGTGGCACTAGCTCCAAGAGGGGCAGGGGACCAGGGCTGGTAAACGGGGCTGGTCCTGGGGAGGGCTCTGGGATGCCCGGAGTAGGGAGTGCTGCAGATGGGCAGGGCTCCAGGGTAGGTCTCGGGGGCTCTGCAAACTCAGGGACCCCAGGGGCTCCTGGGGACAGAGGGGCTCCCAGTGGGGAGTGCAGGTCTGCAGACAAAGGAACGGGTGTGGGGGCTTCTGGCCGTCTTGATGGCCGGGAGGCAGTGGAGGGGGACGCCTGGGCAGGGACAGCAGGTCTGGGATCCAGACATGAAGGGGACTTCGGGAAAGCAGGTGCAGGGACAGCAGGCAGGGGAGGAGCTGCTGGCCAGGGAGGACCAGGGCCTCAGGGAGCAGAGGGCTCACTGCTCGGAGGCGGGGGGGTGGCAGGAACGTCGGGGACAGGCACAGGGCAGGTTCTGGACGGAGGCCGGATGCCTGGGCAGAGGGGCAAATCTACGTCGGAGTCTGCAGATGGGCCAGGGGTCCATTGTGCTCGGGCCCCAGGCCAGAAAGACCAGGGGTCTGAACGGGGCCATGCAGGAGCTAGGAGCCAGGCCCCCGGCTCCAGGGTGGAAGATGCCACTTTCGATGGGAGCCAGGAAGGGCTGGAAGGCTCCAGGGGCCGGACACGGGCTGCAGGCCAAGGAGAGGCTAGAGGGAGGCAAGGCCTGGGGTTGCTGGAGAGCAAAGGTTCAGGGCCTGGAAGGGACAGGACTGCTGGTGCAAGGGACTTGGACGGAGCCTGGAATGGCCTGGAAGGTTCTTTTGGCAGCAAAGACTCTGGAGACAGATCCGGGGGCATCGGGGGCTCGGGTGGCCAGCTCAGCAGAGGGCAGAGAGGAGAAAGGGGGCCGCCAGAGGCTGAGAACAACAAGGCCCAAGGTCCAAGGGCCCTGAAGGAAGACAAGGGACAGGGAGAAGCAGAGTCTGGCAGATCAGATGGGAGGTCAGGTCCGTGCAGCTGCAGGCTCCAAACACGGTCGGGGGCCAAGGCCGGAGCTGCAGAGAGGCGAACGTTGGATGAGGCCAGAGGCAGGGGACAGCGGCCCGACAGAGAGGACACAGAGCACTCTGGGGAGACTCTGCATGAAGACGGGAGCTGGGAGCCCCCGAGTCATCTGGGCAGCAGGAGAGGTGGCACAGGGGGCAGGTTGGATGACGGTGGCCAAGGGAAGGATGCCTCCCGGAGTCCCCGATCCAGACGCAAGCCTGGCACTGGCGATTTCTTCGAGGAAGCCCGAGGTAGGTGCTTGCAGTGAAGCTGGCTCCAGCGGGGACCCTGCACCCTGGGATGCCTGGCTCTGTCCCGGTTCTGCCTCCAGCCCCAGGCGTTTGTCCCTGCCAGCACCCTCCCATTTTGGGGGGGTCTCCTTCCAGTGCAGGAAGTAGCCTCCTCCTTGTGCAGGTGGGATCCAGGCCAAGGGGCCCTGGGGTCCCCTGGGCATCTGTCTGGACACAAGGCATCTAAAGCACAGAGCCGTCCAACTAGCTCTGTGGGTCACCCAGACACCCGTCTCTGTGACTCAGGGATCTTTCACCCACCATGCACCCCACTTTTCCTGCACTAGCTCAGGCCCTGCTGAGAAGAATAGGGGTTGGCAGAGAGCAGCTGGCAGGACCTGGTGGCCTCCTGGGGTGCCATGCAGGCCATGGCCTGGGAGGTTGGGCCCCCGGGGAGGGCCCTGAGTGACAGTCCTCCGCCTCTGTCTGTCTCTCCAGGCCCCACGGGCCACTTCTCCCGAGGCCTGGCTGACACGGAAGCACAGCTGGGGGAGGCCGTCGTGCTCTCCTGTATCCTCAGCCGGGACCTGGGACCGGGCGCCTGGTTTAAGGATGGAGTCAAGGTACCACCCCCTCCCCTCCCCGGCCAAGCACACACACCTCGACCACCGGCTCAGAGTGGGGGCCGAGGGGAAGCAGAGAACAGGGGAGGGTCCATTTGTCCTTCCTCTTCCTAATGCACCTGTGAGTTTAGCCAACAAATCGCTGTTTACAACATGCAAGATTTTAGACTCAGTGGGTGTTCCGGTCACTTCCCCACACACACCCCTTGCTCTCAGCTGCCCCAACTGCCTTTTTTGTCCCAACACCTGTTGAATTCTGCACACCTTTAAGGCCTCGGACAAAGGCCACCTGTGAGCCTAGCCAGGCGAGATCTCTCGGCCCTGGGACAGACATCTGTCCTCTACTCTGGCTGTCATCTCGGGAGGAAGCCTGTCCCAGGGCTTCAGAGCTCCGGCCGGCATCAGGCACCCTGGCCTCTGATACCACTACTGTGGCCTCTGGTTTCATCTATAACATGGACCAATAACTGTGCCTACTGCCTTAGGTTGGCTCCCACTCGGTGAGGGGGTGGAGCACAGACGGTTAGCACACGCTGGCCCACGGCCACGCTCCATCCACACCCGTTACTGTGGTTCCTGCAATTGCATTAGTGAGGGCCCTGGTTGGCGGGGCCTGGGGGAGCCCTGCGCTGGGGGTGACCGGCTCCACCGTGGCCTTTTTCCAGCTCAGCACCCAGGACGGACTGGTCATCCAGCAGGACGGCCTCATGCACCGGCTCCTCCTCGAGCACGTGCAGGAGACCCAGGCCGGGAGGTACAGTTTCGTGGCCGGCGAGCAGGAAAGCAAAGCTACCCTGACCATCCGAGGTGAGGCTCAGCCCACGCTTGCCCACCTGGTGCCTGCATCAGGTAATATGCAAACACCTGAACATGTGGCTGGTCTGCAGAAGATGATGCTAAAATTTCTTGTCAGGAAGTCCCTGGTGAGGTCCCTCCTGCTGCAGAAGAGGCCACGTACCCCCCATTAATCCTCCAGAGGTGGGGGACAGGGTTTCTGACTGTGGAGACTCCCAGTGCCCTGGCCCCTTTGACCCCCTTGCCCTGTTGCATCCCTAGATCCCCCCATCATCGATCCAGACGTGGCGAAGAGCCTGAAGGAGCCACTGGTGGTCAAGGCCGGGAAGCCGCTGACCGTGAAGATCGCCTTCCAGAGCCGCCTCCCGGTCCAGGCTACCTGGACAAAGGACGGGGCCGAGGTGGATGGTGCCAGCGGCAGAGGGGCCCAGGCGGCCCTGGGGGATGGCTTCACCCGTCTGTGCGTCCCGAGCGCCACCAGGAAGGATGGTGGCCTGTACAGCGTGACACTGAGGAGCAAGGGGGGCTCCGCGCAGGCTGAGGTCACCCTGCAAGTCATAGGTGCCCGCCCGCCCCAGCCTCCCTCCCGCCAGGGCCTGGGCGTCCCAGGCTCTGATCCTCACCTGCTGGCTGCTTAAGATCCAAAGCTGCTGCTACCCAGCCCCTCTCCCCTCCGCAGACACAGATGGGGTGGGAAGAAGCAGTTTCCGCAGTAAAGGCTGGGAGGAGGCCTGAGAGAGTTGCTGGGGGAGATGGTGGCCCCGGCCCTGAGTGATGCCAACAGGGTGCAGCCGGAGGGCTGAGAGGGGCAGCTGGGCTCGGGCTGTTGCTCTCTATGGTACTTCCCTGGGCATGTGTGTGTTGGGGTGGAGACCAGGGACACCTCTAGGTCCTACCTGAGCCTCTCTGAGGGTTCCACTCACAGCAGGCTGATCTACTGACAGGGGTGGGGCGTCCAGCACGGCTCCCCTCCACCTCCCCTGATGTCCCTTCTCTTCCTGCTCTTCTCCCGGGGCCCAGACAAGCCTCAGCCACCGCAGGGCCCCCTGGAGGTTCAGGACTGCCGGGGGTCTGGAGTCAGCCTCAGCTGGCGGCCCCCACGGGACGATGGGGGCCGGGCCGTGGAGCACTACATAGTGGAGCGGCGGCAGGCGGGCCGGAGCACGTGGCTGAAGGTTGGCGAGCCCCCCGCAGGTAGCACCAGCTTCACAGATGCCCAGGTGGAGCAGGGGAAGAAGTATGCCTTCCGCGTGCGGGCCGTCACCTCCGAGGGGCCCGGGGAGGCCCTGGAGTCGGAGGAGGTGCTGGTAGCTCCAGAGGGTAAGAGGACGGCTGGGGCCGGGCGGGACCATCTCAGGCTCCCCACAGTGCCCCAGGCGGAGGGACAGGGAAGGGTTTAGGGCCTCTGAGGGCACTGTGGGGACTCCTCATCTGGAAGCAAGATTAATGGGAGTCTTTTCCCAGCGGGGGGCTCTCCAGACGAACATGCAGAGCCCACTCTCATGACCCTGGGGGGATCATCCTCAGCATATGTTCCATCTGGCTGGACCCCTGGGCCATAGTGTTTCTCTGTCCTGGAGCACGTGACTCAGCCAAGCACGTGTCCCAGAAAGGGACAGAGTGTGCCTCCCCTCCAGATGCCCCACTCCACCCCCCAGGACCTTCCCTCGGCCTCTGGCTGACCAAACCTTCTCTGCCCCCAGCGCGCCCCGGGCCCCCCTCGGCCCCGGCCATCCAGTCGGCCTCTAGCAAGTGCATCACCCTGACCTGGACGGCGCCTCGAGGCCCCGGGAGCGCCCACATCCTGGGCTACCTGTTGGACAAGCGCAAGAAGGGCAGCAACACCTGGACAGCAGTGACTGAGCAGCCTGTGCTTGGTGAGCAGCCTGAGTGCCGCTGACTCCGCTGTCCCCTGGGTGCCCACCTGGCTCGCTCCAAGGTCCTGGGGCACCATCATGGCCTGAAGCAGTGGGTCTCCCCCGGCTGGTTCTGTCCCTGGGATGCTGAACAATGTCTGGTTGTCTCACTGAAATGGGGAAGCAGGGAGTGGCATCCAGTGTTAAGAAGGCGGAGACGCTGCTCAGCACCCAACGGCACATGGGACGCCCCCCCCCCCACTGTGACTGCAATGTCCACGGTGCTGAGGGGAGACCTGGGCTAGTGGGCATCTCGGGATGAAGTCGGACATGGAGCTCTTAGCCCCATCCCTCCGTCTGCCCTTGACCGCTGGCGGCTCCCTCTCTGTCCGGATCTCAGCTTTCTGAGCGTTACGGCACTGGCCCACGACCGCCCAGTGAGTTAGTGGCAGGGATTCAGGGCCCTGACCCCCCGAGCAGCGCCCTCTGCACCTGGGAGAGGCTGGGTGACCCCACTGGCTGGAGCGGAAGGCTGTGCTCTGGCCCCAGGCTGGTCTTCCCCAGGACCCGCGGGCACCACCTGTGTCCCCGTGGCCCGGCCCCGCCCGAGTGGCACCAACGTGGCCTGCCTTTCACAGAGCGGAGGTGGACGGTGACCGACTTGAGGCCTGACTGCCAGTACGAATTCCGGGTCACGGCCGTGGCTCCCTCCGGCCCCGGGCAGCCTGGGCCCCCGTCAGATGCTGTCTTTGCTCGAGACCCCATGAGTAAGTAAAACATCAGGTGGCAGGAATCGCGGGAGGCCGGTTAGTGAGAGAGTGGTTAGGTGCTGAGTGAGTGGGATGAGTTGGGGAGGCTTCCTGGAGGAGGTGCCATTCCTGACATTCCCACGGTGCTGGGCCAGGACCCCCCGAGCCGGTGAGGGATCTCCAGGTCACGGACACGTCGCACACCAGCATCGCCCTGCGCTGGGCCCAGCCTGACACTCAGGACGGAGACGCGGCCCAGGGGTACGTGGTGGAGCTGCGTCCCGCGGACAGCCTCGAGTGGACCCCGTGCCACGTGGGCACCGTGCCTGGCACCACCTACACGGCCAAGGGGCTGCGGCCCAGAGAGGGCTACTTCGTGAGGGTCATCGCCGTGAACGACGGGGGCCGCAGCCAGCCCACTGCCCTGGACGTGTTGGTACAGGCCATGCCCACTCCCGGTGAGCCCCACCTCCCTCCGGACCCTTCCTGGGAGGGGCCCCTGAGCAGCCCCCCCCCCCGTGCTCGCTGAGTCAAGATCCCCTTCCCCAGTTTAATCAAGTAACATTTTTCAAAAAATATATGTTTTTATTGATTTTTAGAGAGAGAGGAAGGGAGAGGGAGAGAGAGAGAGAAACATTGATGATGAGAGTCATCGATCAGCTGCCTCCTGCATGCCCCCTGCTGAGGATCGAACCCGCAACCCAGGCATGTGCCCTGACCGGGAATTGAACCGGTGACCTCTTGGTGCACAGGACAACGTTCAACCACTGAGCCACACCAGCTGGGCCCAAGTAACATTTACTGAGCAGGCCCTTTCAGAAATGCTATCTCCTTATAACTCATAAAAACCCGCCAGGTTAATATTTGTATCCCCAATTTACAACCAAGGTACTTTGTCCCTGGGACCTCCCACGTGGCTGTGGCAGAGACAGGATTTAAACCAAGTGCCCGGCTCCAAAGCCCAGCATCTCTGCCTCCCAAGCACAGCCCAGAAAGTCACAGGTGCTGCTCAGTGCAGGTGGTTCACGCTCGGGGCAAAGGATGCTCAGGCTCTGCCGTCGGCAGGTGGACCTGCTTACTCCTTGGGCTGTGGAAGCAGCTGACTCATCCTCAACTCAAACTGAGCCGGGCCATCCCTCATTTGTCACCATAGTGATAGGGGGGACAGGCACAGCGAAAGCACGCTGTTTCTGCGTCCAGAATCCCAGGGCCTTATCCTGGTTCCGCCCCCTCCCCGTGGTCTCAGGCGTGTCACCCGATATCTCATTCAGTGGTCGCCTTGCCTGCAGAAGAAAATGCTGGCCAACTTTCTCAGTGTCCTCTGTTCCAGCCTAATCTGACCCTCTCCTCCCAGTTCCCTGGGAGCCACCTGTCCCATCAGGCCCTCAGCATCAGAGAGGTTGGCCAAGCCTTCCCCTGCCCACCTGCCTTGTTGGTGACTGGGGGTTGGGGCCCAGCTGCAGAGGGAGGTGACTGGCCATCTTGCGTGTTGCAGTCTCTCCCAAGTTCCTCATGGACTCCAGCACCAAGGACTTGCTGGTGGTCAGAGTTGGAGACACCGTCCACGTGCCTATTCGCTTTGAGGTGAGTGTGTCTATCTAATGGGTGTACGAGGGGGCCCATTGTGACCCAGGGAGCCCAGCTCAGCCCTGTGGTTCCCTTCACACCGGGGCTTGTGCTGGACATCAGAGTGAGGGAGGAAAGCAGGGTGAGGGGCCTCCTTGAAGGCCCAGCCCCACCTGCACCCTCCCGGCCAGCCCTCCCAGCACCCTGTCCTCCCCACGTCCAGGGCTGCCTCAGGACTTTCCCTTCCCGCTGTCCCTCCTCGTTTCCCAGGCTGCCCCCCTGCCGGAGGCGACCTGGCTGAAGGATGGCCTGCCTCTGTCGAAAAAATGCGTGACCTCCACCAAGGAAGGCCTCACCCAGCTCCTGGTCCCCGTGGCCAGCCTCGCGGACAGTGGCATCTACACCGTGGTGCTGAGAAACCTGCAGGGGCAGGAGGCCGTCTACACCTTCGTCATCAGGGTGTCAGGTGAGCAAGGGCCCCAGGTCTCAGCTGTGCTGCTCCCCAGGCCGGGCTGGGCAGTGACCTCACCCCTACCTTCCCACATGCTGAAGGGAATTCTGAGTCCACTGTTCTTCTGCCCAGGGACTCAGGGACAGTAGCCACAGCCCCTCCCAGACTTCAGTTCATCTGCACTGAGAGTCACTGAGCCGGTCACCCCCATGACTTCATGCAGAGCCAAGGGGAACCCTGTCTGGGGTCCTGGCAGGAGGGGAGGGTTACCCTCCACAGGGCCCGCCGGGGAGGTGACCTCACGAAGGCAGAGTGAGCAGCTGACAGGGGCTCTAACAGCCTATGAGAGCTCCCACTGTGTCCACGTCTGGGGTCATTTCACTCACAGACCACAGTGAAGGTCCCTCCCCCAGAGAGAGCAGTGGACCCTACAAGCTCTCTCTAGCTCCAGCTTCTGGCTCAGCAAAGATGCGTCCCCCAGAAGACGCGGGGGCCGGGGTAGGACCATGCAGAAGCCCACGGGCATTGTCCAGTGCCCTGTTGCGTCCCCCAACCTCGGCTCCTCTGGCCTCTCTCCCACAGCCAAGCCGCAGGCGCCCGGGCCCATCCGCCTGCAAGAGAACGTGCCAGGGACGGTGACAGCCGAGTGGGAGCCCTCTCCAGACGAGGCCCGGGGCATCCCACTGCACTACACGGTGTTGACACGCTCCTCCGGGCACGGCCCCTGGCAGGAGGCGGCCGACCGCGTCCACACCAACCGCTTCACCCTGCTGGGCGTCGTTCCCGGCCACGAGTACCACTTCCGAGTGGTGGCCAAAAACGAGCTGGGGGCCAGCGAGCCCTCAGACACCAGCCAGCCCTGGTGCATCCCCCGGCAGCGAGGTGAGCTCCACACCGCCGCTCCGTGCACCCCAGTGTGGCCAGATTCGCCGGGTGCCAAGGCCACCATGTCTCCATGTGTAACTGGACCCAGAGTCCAGCTGGTGGCCCAGAGCTGTCCCTTCTCTGCTCCTGTCCAACCCACCTGCACCACGGTCCTCTGTGTCCCTGACTCAAGGGAGACACGTGGCCTGATGTCTCTCGGGGAGATAATGGAAGGGGCTGTGGGCATCTGTGACTCCAGATGCCTTCCCGTGGCAGTCAATAGGTGTCTCAAAAAACACAGCGTACTTTACCATCAAATAGATGGGACCTCAACGCAGCCACTGGAAAAAGCAGGTTATAAAATCAGGTGCACACGCCTTGGCCAGTGTTCTCAGTGGTTAGAGCGTTTGCCTGAGCACTGAAGGGCTGGGGGTTCGATTTCCAGTCAAGGGACATACCTGGGTTGCAGGTTAGATCCCTGGCCGTGCAGGAGGCAACTAATCGATGTGTCTCATTGATGTTTCTCTCTCTCTCTCCCTCACTCCATCCCATTCTCTCTAAAAAGCAATAGAAATAATATCCTCAGGTGAAGATTAACAGAAAAATAAACAAAACAGAAACCCTAAATTATTTATAGAAAAGGGTGAAAGAGTGAGGCAGCCCTGGGGGCCTAATTTGCAGAAAGGAAAAGCCTGTGTCCCGGCAGGAGCTCCCCGCCCAGCTGCCCCAGGCAGCCTGCCTCACCTCTGACCCTCCCGTCTGCCCCGGTTCCATTCCAGACACAGTCACGGTGAAGGCCCCCAAGTACCGGGAGCCCAACCTGAACCAGAAGCCTTGGTTCCTGGTGGGCCTGCGCTCCCACCTGCTGCCACCCGGCTGTCAGTGCTGCATGAGCTGCGCCGTGAAGGGCTGGCCCCAGCCCCGTGTCACCTGGTTCAAGAACGGCGAGAGCCTGGAGGGCCACCCTGTCGTGTACAGCACCGACACGCTGGGCGTGTGCTCACTGGTCATCCCCAGTGTGGCCCCCGAGGACAGCGGCCTGTACAAGGCAGTGGCTGAGAACTCGCTGGGCCAGGCTGTCAGCATGGCCACCCTCATAGTCACAGGTAAGGTGCTGCCCGGCAAAGGCCATGTTTGTGAAGGGAAGGAAGTCAGAAGAGTGACCACCTGCCCACTTCCAGAGGCCACATCTTCTCTGGAGTGACCCGGAGGGGTCAGAGGCCCAGCTGGTGCAGATGCCTAGTGTCTGGGTGCTTAGGGTTGCCCGGACGGCCAGGGAAGGACTTGGCCTGAGCTCAGACAGCAGCTGGGGGCTCTGGATTTGAACCCTCACCCCCAGCGGCAGAGCCCCCGGGCCTAACCCCCTTGCCGTATGACCATCACACTTAGCAGGTGTGGGGGGCAGCTGCCCCTCGGGGACCAGCTGGAACACCCCGGTGCCCTGTGTCTTGCAGAACCCAGCTCCTAGCCCCGCCCCACCCTGGGATGGCCCTGCCTGGCCACGCGACCACGGCACAGCCACGGAGGATGACAGACGCCTGAAGTCTCAGCCCTGACGCCCACGCTGGCCGGGGAGCCAGTCCCGAGGGACAGAGGACAGTGCCCAGAGCCCCAGGGAGAAGGCAGCGAGGGGTTTCTGAGGCGGTTCCACCAGGAAAGCATGGAGTCCTCAGGGGAGGAAAGGAAGAACTGGGGACATCAGCTTCCCGGCCCCACTGACCAGAATGACAGCGAACCTCCCCCCTCGCCACCTGGGCTTCTTCTTTCTCCACTTCAGACACCCAGGGAGAGCCCGCCTGCAGGGGGGAGGCCCCGTCCTCAGTTCCTAGGCTGGGACTTGGGGGGCAGAGCTGGGCCTGCTGCGACCACAGGGAGGGGACAGTAAGGGAGGTCAGAGGGCCTGCGTGGGGACCAGGGCCCGGAGGGCGCGTGTGTGCAGGGGGGCGGTTGCTGCTTTCTGTGCTTTTCCTCATTAAAACATCAGGCGAATCAGTTGCAGGTGAACTGAAGGTGGCGCGTTGGAGGCGAGGCTGCAGCGGGTGGGGCTGGGGTGGGGGTAATGGTTCTGGGTTGTGGAAAGAATTGGGTCAGAACCGGACTGACATCTCCCCAGCTGTGAGCTCTCTGGCCCAGGCTGACCGTGACATGGACAGCGGGGGCCAGCAGCTAGGGCTGGGGTCAGGGCCTGAGGAGCCCCCAGCAGCGGCCTCCCCCAGGGGACAGGACAACACNCGGCCTCCCCCGGGGGACAGGACAACATAGGCCAGGCCTCAGTGTCCTCCTGAGTCCCCGCGCCAAGCACCTGCCATCCCAGGCTTGACCATTAGGTGGCGCCGCAGGCTCTGCAGTGGCTGGGAAGGTAGCTGGACAGCCTCAGGGGCACGGAAAAGGGGACAGAAGGTGGCCTGGGGCTGGCGGGGCCACCAGCGGGCTCTCCCTCCCTCTCTAGTCTCCCCCAGGTCTCTCTGGGGCAACTTTCTGCTGGACACAGGAGCCCGGGCTGAGGGACCTGTATAGCCCCTGCCCCTGGCCACCCTTCACGGCCTCAGCCTCGGGTCTCCTGGAGGCCGGGGTTTGGGCTCTGGGTGTCACTGAGAGAGGCTTCATGGTGGGGGTCAGGAGGTAGGACCCGTGGAGGTCTGGGTGTCCTGGACAGCCTTGGGCGTTTGGGCCTTGGACAGGGACAGCGGGCGGGACCAGCAGGCCCAGGCTGACAGGTCCTCACCTGCTGCTTGGCCCTCTGACTGTCCTCAGCAGCACCGGCCCTCCTCCTCGGCCCTGCTGGACAGGGGGCCAGGCCCATGGAGCAGACCCTCCCTNCAGCAGGCCCAGGCTGACAGGTCCTCACCTGCTGCTTGGCCCTCTGACTGTCCTCAGCAGCACCGGCCCTCCTCCTCGGCCCTGCTGGACAGGGGGCCAGGCCCACGGAGCAGACCCTCCCACTTCCTCCTGAGACCAAAGCTGGGGTCTCCGAGGTCAAGGAGAGGTGCGGGGCACAGCAAGAGTGATCCTCTCAGGGCCTGGGCTCAGATGGCCTGGACAGGGCTGCAGAGTGTCCCCTCAAGGGCGGGTGCAGCCGTGGCCAAGGAGGAGTGAACAGGCCTGGTGGCCAGGGACACTGAGGCTGGACCCGCCAAGGGCTCAGACCCAGAGCTGGCGTCAGCTGCTGGATGGTGGAGGGAGGACCACAGGGCACGGCCGGGACTGTTGTGTCCTAGGACACAGTGTCCTGGGTGAGGTGCCTGGGATGTGGGGCGCAGGCTGGGCCCAGGCTTGGAGGGTGGGGCCCCCAAGCGCAGGGGACAAGCGCTTCTCCAGCATTTGGCCGCCGCTGACGCAGCTGGAGCAGCTGGCGGGAAGCTGCCCTCGCACAGCAGTCGGGCAGCTCCTCCCGGCACAGGGATGGCGTCCACCCTGGGTGTCTGCCTGCCAGCTCCCGCCGCCCTGAAAGGTAGCCTTCCCCTCAACACACGGAGCCCAGGCCCTGCAGCCCACCCGGACAGTCCCCTGTGAGGCTCTCCTCCCTGTGGGGTCCTCCTAAAACCTGGCCCTGTCCCTCTGTCCCCCTCACCTCCTCTTCCCAACCCCACAAACAGCTCCCACACCCAGGGGCCTGTTCTCCAGACCCTGTCGGCTCAGGCTGGGCTGAGCAGAATATGCACAAGTGTCCCTAAGGCAGGAGCCCACCCCACCCCACCTACCTCAAGCTGTCCCTACTCAGGGGACCCACTGGGGCCATGGCTGAGGAGCAGGTCTGACACCCACCGGGCAGTGGACTTGGGTGCCCTGTTCTGCTCTGTGGGCAGCCTCGGCCAGGACAGCCACTCCGAGTCCCAATGGGGGAGTAACGGGGGTGCAGGACCTGGGGCACTGGCAGGAGCAGGGGTCTGGCCCTCACTCGATGGCCCTGCAGGCTCGGGCGAGTCCCTCCCTCCCCTTCTGAGCCTGCTGGGGAGGGAAAGGTCCCAGTTCTGCTGAGCTTACCAGTTTCACTCCCCTTCCTGAGAGGTTTTTTTTTTTTTAATGATGAGGGAGTTGGTCCCCGTTGGCTCCTCCTGGCAACATCATCAGTCCCTGAGGCTGGTCTGCCTGGGAGCCTGGTTTCTCCTCTGGAAGGGGGTGCTGGCCTCCCCCTGGAGCTGGGGGTGGGGTGGGGGGGCTGGGCTTGTTATGTTCCCAGATGGCGGTTACACAAGGTTAGGAAAGGCAGGAGATGAGTTTGGTCCAGGTAGGCGGGGCGGAGGCCTCCCCCCTGATTCAAGTGAGAAAGATACAGCTTTGCTGTTTCCTGGGGGCTGCAGCTAGGGGACCCGTCTCTCCCCCAGGCCTGGCCTCGCCCAGGGTGCTGCCACCCAGGAGCCCAGGAGAGGCTGCCTGGCCCAACAGGAGGCCAGGCCCCAGCTGTGGGACCCCAGAGAAGAGCACTGGGTTCGCGGAGCACTCACTGGGGGGCTTCCCCACCTCTAGGACTGGGAGCCTGCAGGGTGGCTCTGGCACAGCCTGGGGAGAGCCTGCTGTTGCCCTGGCAGCCACACCTGCCCACCCCCCGCCTGCGTCAGGGGAGCTGTCGGCGCTTGCACTGGCTTCCCAAGCGATGAGACACTCCCGGCCTGCCGCCCCAAGCCTCGGGCAGCTCACGCCCTGTCATCTGGGGTGGCCCAGCCCCTGGAGGGCTCCCCAGAGACCCCCTCTGTGAGTGTCCCACGGCTGCCCCCAATGTCCCAGCAGGCAGTGGCCCTCTGGAGGAGGGAGACCAGCTGGAGGAAGACCGTAGGGAAATGAAGCTGCAGGTGGACAAACGCTCCCTCTGTGCTCAGCCTCACAGCCAGGCCCCAGGATGGGGCTGAGGACCGGAAATGGACCTGAGCAAGGGAGCCTGGCCTGGCAGGGGGGCAGGGCAGGTGCAGCCTTGGCACTGGAGAGAGGCCTGTGCCAGGCAGATTCTGGTGAAAATGTGCTCACGCCGGCGGGTGGGGCTCATCACTCCCGGAGCCCCTGCTGGGACAGGAG